CCCGGCGAGCATCTCGGTCAACACCCGTTACCTAAATCTCCAAGAAAACCAAATCCAAGTGATCCGCACGGATACTTTCAAACACCTCCGGCATTTGGAAATTTTACAATTAAGTCGGAATTTAGTCCGGAAAGTGGAGGTGGGGGCTTTCAACGGCCTCCCCAACCTCAACACCTTGGAGCTCTTCGACAACCGTCCCCAGCGGGGCCTTCGAGTACCTCTCCAAGCTGCGCGAGCTGTGGTTGCGCAACAACCCCATCGAGAGCATCCCCTCCTACGCCTTCAACCGCGTCCCCTCCCTCCGCCGCCTGGACCTGGGCGAGCTCAAGCGCCTGGAGTACATCTCGGAGGCGGCTTTCGAAGGCTTGGTGAACTTACGGTATTTGAATTTGGGGATGTGCAACCTGAAGGAGATCCCCAACTTGACGGCGTTGGTACGGTTGGAAGAGCTGGAGCTTTCGGGGAATCGGTTGGGGCGAGTCCGTCCCGGTTCTTTCCAAGGGTTGGGAAGTTTGAGGAAATTGTGGTTGATGCACGCCCGGGTGGCGGCGGTGGAACGCAACGCCTTCGATGACCTCAAAGCGTTGGAAGAGCTGAATTTGGCTCCCAACGAGCTGGCCTCCCTCCCCCACGACCTCTTCGCTCCTTTGCACCGCCTGGAGCGGGTTCCCCTCCACCACAACCCCTGGCGCTGCGACTGCGACGTCCTCTGGTTGAGTTGGTGGTTGAGGGAGACGGTGCCCAGTAACACCAGTTGTTGCGCCCGGTGCCACGCTCCGCCGGCGTTACGCGGGCGATACTTGGGCGAGCTAGAACCGGGGCATTTCACTTGCTACGCCCCCGTGATCAACCCCCGCCGATCTGAACGTTACCGAAGTGATGGCGGCCGAACTCAAGTGCCGAACCGGGACGGCCATGACCTCGGTCAACTGGTTGACGCCCAACGGGACGCTGATGACCCACGGTTCGTACCGGGTGAGGATTTCCGTCCTTCACGACGGCACGCTTAATTTTACCAACGTCACCGTGCAGGACACGGGGCAGTACACCTGC